AGGAATGCCAATTTTGTTCATGTTTTTCTTTGGCCATTTGCAGAGCCCATAGCAGTTAAGTAGTTGCCTACTAACTTTTCTGAGATTTTTGTGGTATCTGTTGCCACTTCTGAAGATTGGATTAATCGGGATCCTGGATGGAAATGGATATTAACGCATGGCTTTGGTGCATAAGGCATCTGTTCCTCGGCACTGTGTAGCATCCCCAAGTTCTACCAATAATGACTGTTTTTGTCTGAAGTTTAATATTTAAGGGTGCAGACACAAGTGCAGCTCTTTGCTGTAACTGAGAACACTTTGCAGGATGTATTCTGAGTTGCAACGTTCCCCCAGATGAAACAAAAGTTCACTCTTGGTTCGAGGGGGGAACCTTAGCAACGGCCTCTCCTCTCTCCCAGCCTGTCCCTGTTTGAGAATGGGAGGCAGGGAAAAGGAGGAAAGGAAACTTTTATTCTAAGACTGGCGAATTGGAGCAGGAACTGAAAAAAAACCCATACCAAACTCCCTCTGCTCCCATTCCCCCCTCCCATTCTGAAAACCGTGACAGGCTGGCAGGCAGTATAGACAAAAGTTACAGAAGACGCTCTGTTTTGAAACATCTTCACCTGACTCCCTCATGCATTAAAGATTCAGATTTTTGCCTGATCAGCCACTTTTTAAGCATTCTGCAGTCATGCACTTATTTGTTCATGGCTATAAATCACTTTCTGTGGCCAGCTCGGGCAAAAATTGTCACTTCTGTCTGTGCCCTAATTGTTGAACAGTATTCCTGTCATAATTATGTTGCATTGCAAGGTAGCAGATAGCTGTGAAGTGCTGTGCTAAAGTATTTCATACCACTGGAAAAATTTACCTTTTTTTTTTTTTTTTTAAATAGACTGATATCACCAGAACAGCCTGTGAAGGCAAAGTTCCTGACCTTGGGTTCCAAGTTCCGTTACAGCGGTCGCACGCAAGCACAGACACGGCAAGCTAGCAACCTTATAGATAGACCAGCCCCATATTTTGAGCGTACCTCAAGCAAACGTATCTCCAGGAGTCTTGATGGGGGTAAGAATTTATGATAAAGGATATTATTTACTGAATGTAATGGTTCGATTTCATCTCGTTGCTTTCTCTCTTCACTTACTACATTTAGAAAATTCTGACTTCTGGATTTGGAGAATGTTAATCGTCTAAACCTTATGAAATTCAGTTTCCATGTTAGGTAGTTTTAAAAAGGTTTAGGCCTCAGGGGTGGTTGTGATGTCCCTGGGTGGCCACGCAGCTCCTGCCCCACTCTTGGGGCTCCTTGAGGTACCCTCCCTTTTCTCTTTCCTGCCATACCTTGATGAAACCTTTTATAGCGTTTAGGGTGGTTAACCCAGGGTCCTAGAGTGAGCCCCAGTTTGCCTTAGTCTTGCCCCTTTGGGCACTAAATTGCAGCCCTCCTGCCTCTATTTGTGCCTTAGGGCACAAGCCACCTTAGTAGCATTAATTGTGGCCTCCATCCTCCCCTGTAGCTACACCCATGCCTGGCAGATGCTACTTGGTATCACTTCTGAGGTGCTCCCTGGCCCCAAAACAACACTTGGCCCCTTAGGTCTCAAACCTTTGTTGGGGCTTCGGACTTCTCAGCTTTGGCCCCTTTTGTCAGACCTTGGCTTCTGGGCTCCAGCCCTAGTTTTACCCTTCTCAAGCTGCATGGGCCCCTGGATCTAGTCCTGCCCATCTCAGACTAGTTTTGCACCCTAGCCCCTTCTAGTCTCCAACCCTTGCAGGGCTTTATTCTGGGTGCCTCTTAGGTGCCCCTTTGGCCTCCATACCACCCCCATAGCCACAGTCTGGTCCTCCAGTCTCCAACTTAATCACAATGTAAATGCAAGCAACTGCTTCGTTACTGAGACCCACCATTCTCTGAGGCACTGCATCACAACAGGCCATAAGTCTCCCTTAGCCACCCTGGGTGGGCTGCTAGCAGGTGGGTGCTGCTCGTGGTGGGGGGCGCTGCCGCTACAGATGGAAGCACCAGGCCCCGCACAGCTCAGGCAGGCAGGCAGGTTCTGGGAGGAAAAAAAAAGATCAGGCTCCTCTCGGCTTTTTCTTTCCTCCAGTTGAACTGCCTCCAGGTCGCACAGCCCCTGAGCTATGCAGGGCTCAGTGCTTCCCTCCATGGTGGTGGTGCCCCACTAGATCTGCCCAGGCAGGTGCTAGTGGGTAGGTGCCACCTGAGGGGCACCACCACAGTGGAGGGAAGTACTGGGGCCACCCGCAGCTCAGGGACTGCACAGCCTGCCAAGAAGCCCCACTCTCCCAACCGCGGGAGAGGCAGGTAAACTCCAGCCCCTCATGCACCATTCCCACTGCCTTCTAGCCACCTGGGACCACCCGGGAACAGCTGGCTTGCCCCTGGGGCAGAGCTGCAAGGCGGCAGAAGGGCAGCTGGGTATGCTGGTGGCGCGAGAAGGTGGCAGGGACGGTGCTTGGGGCACTAGAAGGCCGCCAAGCCCGAGCTTGCCTGAGCACGTTGGCTTCCAGTGTCCTGTGCACCATTGCACTTTGTTAGGTAGCAAGCTAAAACACTGTAAATAGGTTTTTCCTTGCTACGTTACAAAGTCATTTAAAGCGGAATACACCACCAAGCGTGTAAGTAGCAATGCCGTTAAAACGGAATACGCCACTGGGGATGTAAATAGCAATGCCATTAAAACGGTGGAAAAGGGCAATTAAGCTGCTTTAAAGGCCAATTTTGTTGCATGTACAAAGGCCCAATTGTTCTAATGTCGCACTTAAACCTGGCCAATCACACCAACATCAAATATAAGGCCTCAAGTTTGGATTAATCTACATGGAACTTTACCCTTTTCCCTCACCTTGTGGCTCTTGCCCTTTTCTTAAAAAAAAAAAAAAAAAAAAAAAAAAAAAAAAGATTTGCTTGACTTGCAGATGACCTCTTAGGAGCCACCTGCATTGTATTTCTTAATACAGTGTCCCAATGTTGAAGTTATAACATTTAGTTGTATACACACCCAATCCTCCCCCTCACTACTTAGGGGTCATTCAAAAATTCATCAAATTTTGAAGGATCAGTTACTGCAAAATAAGTGGATGAGTAATGGTATTTTGTTTTGCATGCTATATTTGGAGTTTCTGCTTTTGCCATTTTAAATTTAACTATTTAATAATTGATTTGGTAATATTGGTTTTTTTCTATATGACAGAATAAATAGATTTCAATTGCTACATAAAGACTGCTCTAGTGGATTTCTACCAGAGAATAATATTTGTAGAAGTGATCTTTGTTGATCCACTTTTGTAAATTAGTCTTAATATAAGCTGAAATTAGATTGAAAAATTATTAGGGGAAGGGAAAAGATTTTCAAAAAGAGAAAATGACAGAGAGACCCTAGATCTCTCTGACTTTCACCTTACTAGCCACTTTGACAACCTCCTTCCATGCACATAAGGCATGTCTCTTCTTGCTTTATACTAAGTCAGTAAACATTTCTCAAATAGTTATTTTATAACTAAGGCAAGAAATAGGTGTCACTGAATGAAGGGAAACAGCTGTGTCACCATGTGACATTGCGTGAAATGTACATCACCCCTGGTCCTGGCTTTGGTGTGGGACAGAGTGCAGTGTGATTTCCAGAGCCAGTTTTGGATGAGTGCAAATACTCTTGATAGTTAGGTATCTTCCAATATAGTCAGATTATTCATTTTTCTCCATCCCTCCTCCCCTGCAAATTTTTGTTTTCCTTTGTAAGTTACTGAACCTGGAGTGCTGAACACCTGACTCAGGGGAAATGAAAAAATTTGGCAGCAAGGGAACCATGTTGCTTCTTCCAAGCTCCCAAATTTACAGATCTGTGAGGAGCTCTGCATGTGCATAGTGTGTTCCTTCAAGCTAAGTCAAGTGCACAGAGCTGGGGTGGTGTGAAGCCTGATCTGGGCGGTGTGGGACCCAATCCAGGTGCCACCCATGCACACAGTCCAGCCCACAGATTGATCCCGGGCCACTCATTCAAACCCACAGGGCCAAAACGTTGAGCAGCATGGTACTGAACCATTAAAAAATATTCATATTCCTACAGCTTCTTGAACTGCTTCAGTATAACTTGCTAACATTTCTGTTAGCTTCTCCTGGTTTATGTAATGTTGGCAGTTGTTTAACCGTGTACTTTTATTCCTTTTTGTTTCCGTCTTGCATCTCTCTCAAAGATGTACTCATTCAAACAGTTCAGACCCAGTCTCTAAAATATTGCTGGGTTTTCGGTCTGAGCCAGTTGGTCTTTGAGCTCCCCCTGCTGGTGAATTTTATTATACAGAATCGATAGTAAAAAAGATGATACACAATCTTCAGGGACTTTCAAATAAATATATTCAACATGGGTATGTTTCTCCTTTTAGAAACTGAAAAAGTATAGCGATTTTTGTTGTTGTTGTATTTTAATGTATGTCTACAGTGCCTGATATTTTTGAGGGACAGGTTCAGAAGCAGAAATACTGAATGCCATAAGAAACCTATTTGCATGGATTCTTTTTATCATGGTGGACATCACAGACACATGAAACTTAGTTGTTCATTGTTCTTGAGACATTGTCATCAGAGTAATAAAATAATCTTGATTTATAACACTTACCATTAGGCTTCGCAGAATTCGAGATATATACACGCGCACACACTATATATATTTTATAAAATATATAATTTATTTCACTGGCTAAAATTGATGTTTATTTCTAAGCATTTATTCTGATTTTTATCCATTTAAATTTTCAGGATTGCATGACATTAGGGCTGTAGGGGGCAGACAATTTAGTAATGACAGTTTATTGTTACAAGCTTCATAAAATCACATCAAAATATAAAAAGTAAATATCCATACATCAGTAAATCATCCCTACTTTAAATCATTCTGTTTATTCATCAGGAAAGAGCTAGGTGGGCAGAGACCAGAGGAGGAGGGCAGCAGCACTTCCAAAGCTCTGGGAACATTGGGAGAGGTGGCTGCTGCCCTGGTCTCCTGAGCTTAGCCTTCCCGGCCCAGGCAGGACCCTGCTGCCACCAGTCTGGAGCCTCCAGTACCTTCCTCTTCTTACCTCTCCCTCCCCCTCCTTTGGGTAGGGGTTTAAGTAGCCTGTTATCTCCTTCCAGTCCAATTCCCTGCACCTGTGAATGAGCAGCTAGTTGCTTAGTTGATTAATCATTAGGTCAGGACAAACAGCTAATTGTTTAATTGATGAGTCATTAGGTCTACCATTGTTTTCCTCTTTAACCCTCCACCCTCTGGCTCTCCTAATTCACTGTCCAGTAACAGGGGTAAGGATTCCCTGTTACAGTCCCATTTTTATAAATTTCCATTATTACTGATGGAAATATTTTTCCAATGGTCTGTGTGCACGCCGTGAAATTGCTGTTTATCTGTTTGACAGTAAACATTGAATCCCGCCAAGCCTATCATTAGTAGACTTCGAAAAGCCTTGCAAGTATAGTTGGAAACTTTACTTTTAAAATGGGTGCTTGATTATCATATAAAAAGTAATATATGATATTCAGAAAAAGATATACATGTGTATAATAATAAATGTGTGTGTATGTATGTATATGATATAATTGATATATCTATCTATCTGTCTATCACAGGGATTACCCTGTGATATAAATATGGCAATTTATACAGATTGATATCTTATACACTTGATATCTTCCTAGGGCTTTGAGAACTCCTTGTGCTTCTCAATTTTGCACTGGGTATCTCTCAATAGCTATGCTGTTGTGAAACTAGACAGGTAGAAGTTCTCAAAACAAAACTTTTCAACATACCCAAAATTCTCTGTTCTGTATTAGCTCCCGTAGGTATTACAGACCAAAGTCTGCTAAGGGACTTCTCTGCTACCGCAGCAGGTGATGAAGCTGCTGTCCTAGCCAAATTAAAAAACGGGGAAAGTAGAGAAGAGGATGGAAGCCCAATTAAATCCCCACCATTGGAACTAACCCAGGATGGAAAGGTATGACTGACTGTAACATTTAAATTATTCAATAATGGTATGCGTTCTACTGTACTTATTTTTAAGAGCTATACAACTCCACTTTGAAAATTATCCCTACGTATTTAAATTATTTCTTTCTGTTTAATCATGTATATATGGGGGGTATGCACACACGAGCGCGCGCGTGTGCGCACACACACACACACACACACACACACACATGTGCGCGCAAGCACCCATATTTTATATAACCAAAAGGGAACAAATAACATTGCAAATCTGCATGTGTGATGTTGAATCTTCTAATTTTTTCCTTTGTTGCTACAAGTTAATTTTAAGTACCATAATAGTGTGCTACTTAAATCATTCCTGTATACAATTGTAGGAGCTGAACTTTTTCTGGATTAATTCTGCCATAAATAAATTAGATTTTATCTAATTCCTGTGTTGAGCAAAATTATTAGAAACTCTCTTTTTAGTGTTATGTGCAGCCTATTGAGTTGCATGTCTTTTGGTTTGTTCAAGCTGATTTCAAAGTTCTTGCATTAGTATTTGTTACAGAAACATTTGAGCTTTAAAAAAAGGAATGTCCATTTAGAATTGACACATCTTTCCATGGAAAGTCTGGTTTGTGCATAGTGGAGAAATTCTTATGCAAATGCAGATTTACTTGTCTTGTTGAGGGAACTAGTCAAACTCTAATTGCTCTTACAGCAAAACTCGTGGCAACACCTCTTTCCGAAATGTAAGCTTAAACCTTTGAAAGTCAGTGATAAGTGTGCCTTCTTTTTCAGAGATCTAACTGTATTTTGTTGGTTGGCCACCCAAAATCTCTCTTCTCGGCATGTTATGAAAACATTCTTTTTGCGGTTTAGATAAGTGCTACCCAAATCATCTCACATGGGCAGACAGGGTATGTTGAGTCTCAGGTTGCGTCCAGGCACGTGGCTTGTGGTGCCACAGACCTTTTTGTGACATCAGAAACCACATGCTGTAAATGTTAAAATGTGCCCTGCTCTGCAAATTTGTAGCACACGGCCAAAATTTGCTACTGGGGTTTGCTGGTAGTAAAGTTTAAAAAAAAAAAAAAAAAAAAATCAGAACAAAAAACAGTGCAACACACACACAACAAGCCAGACCATGTGAAGCTGGGCCATCCAGAGCAATGCTCTGTGCTGCTTGACCTGTGCCCCTGCTGCTCCAAGCCACCAGGTAAGGCTGCTGGGGCCAGCACTCCTGTTGGCCTCAGCCTCCAGCTCTCCCTGACTGAAAAGCCAGGAGGAGCTGGGGAAGGGCAGTTTGCTCATTTAAGGACAGTTTGTCTCCCAAGAAAGAACATGTGCAGGGGCATTCACTGCATCAATTTGTGGTGCTGCAAGCGCAGGCCCCTGCATATCTGGATGGAGCCTCACGGTGCCGTACATGGTTATCCTCTATCTGAGTGAGAGCAAACCTGCACAGTCCCATGTTCATATTACTCAAATGAATAATTTTAGAGCAGTAGGCCTTAGCAGAAGCACTCACAGTGTGACACTATCAGGTTCAACCAATCTGTGAATTCTGCTAAATACCTTGTCACAAGGACAGGAAAAAATGGAAAGGAAGGATTTCAAATCAGTCAAGGAAAATACATGTGCATTGGTGTTTCTCAATGTAAAAAAGGGGTTTTGAAGATTTAATAGGTAGATGCATCACTGCTTTTTGGGTTTTTGCCAGGATAGGTGTGTTTTAATCCCAAATTTGGGGTACTATGGGAGAGAGTAGAAAACTAAGAAAAATCCTTTACCCACTGGAAAGAACATTTTGGAAAGAATTGCATGTTTTATGAAGCTCTTCAGTTGAGTTTGCTACATATACCAGCCCTGTAAACAGCAGGGTTTTATTTTCCTCCCAAAGCAGATTTATTTCTTTTGTTTTCTGGTTGTTTTTAAATTCCAGAGGGAATGGTAGTAAATCCTAAGATCAAAGTGCCTGCTTGTCCTTCATGTGCTGCTGTTCTCTGACCTTTCTCCAAAGCTTTGAATGTCTGTCTGCTCTCTTCTGTTGTAAGTGGCTGTACTATTACAGTTCAGAAGTGCAAAATTCTCCAGAGTCTAAAACTGAACATCCACAATGTCTTCAGGTTTACAGTTCATTAAACTGGACAAGTTGGCTGCTTTTAAGATACGTGGGGATTTCCAGTTTTAGTTTGGGATCTGTATTACATTCGTAGTGCTAATACCTATTTTTGAGTAAAAGTTTTCACTAATGACCAGTTTCTTTCCCCTTCTCCCCACTCTTCTTGTACATCTTCTTGTGCTTTTGTACTCCAATTTGGCTGGACTTTTTTTGTTCAGCTCCCTCATATACATCTACCCTCACCTCCTACTTTCATTCAGTGTTTCATGCCATCTTTCAAGCTTGTTGACTATCCTTGAGGCAGACATGCTTTCATACATTTCTGAGGAAAATCCTTATGGGAAATATCTCTGTATCTTCCAGGACATTTTGGAAGGCAGTTGCATGGAAGAAATGCCAGCTCCCAATAGAAATGACATCCCATAAAAAGATTGTGCAATCTGAGACCCCTCAGTACTGTCTTCCATCTGCAATGGAGGGCAAAGCCCACAGCACTGTTGAGAACAAAGATGCTGATTGTTGGTTTTCATTCAACTTCAGCAAATTTTGTCCTTTCCGTTTCTCTTCACTTCTTGACAAAGATGTTGCCATCATAGTCTTCTGAGGTTAGTTTTCGTAGTCTTCTGAGGTTTGCATCTCCTTGCTCAAACCGAGCATTTAGTACTATTTTCCGATCACCTCTCATTCCTTCTCATCTTTGTGCCACTTCTCTCTCCTTTCCAATCTGTTCCTCTCTCACATTTTCCCTTTCTCTTGCTCTGACCTTCTGCTACCCAGAGCTGAAAGTGAAGTCATTGAGTGCTGAGTGCTTATGACAATGACTTGAATGACAAACCAGAGGAAGAGGAGGTGTGTAACTTTGTTGCTCTAAATGATGGCATCTGCTTATAGATTTGACATCTGTTTATGGAGATGCCCTCAATCTTGCACATTTCCTAGTATTAACTGTAGATACCTCTCTCACTTTTTTTTACTAGTGACAGCTTGCCACTGATACAGTTGAGGGTTTTTTAATATTTCAATGTCTGATTTTTCTGGATGAGTATGTGATGCAGTGCATCGGCTTGGATTATATTCTCTGTGTACTTTGTTCTTTTTGTAATTGAAAGGTTTTGAGAGCTTATGAATAGACATATTAGAAATACTTTGGGATGGGAAGCATCTTACAATTATTTGACAACATTGCCTCAGTTACACTACATATATATGTCCATTTCTGCCTTCATCATAGTCCATGAACTTTGAAATAGCATTGTAGAGCCAATTATTGTTAGTTCTGTTAAAATCTGTAGAGTGAAATTCCTAAAATTCTGTCTCTTGTTTTAATTCACCAAATTGTGAATGCTATAAACAGCTTTTTGTTGTAATTCCCGTTTTCAAATAGGCACTAGAACTGTAAGTTTTTTCAGCTTTCCATGCATGTGTGCAGTGTTGAGTGTTTTTGTCCAAGGATCTCTCTGGCTTTTAGTGCTTTTGTTCACATCTAGCAGCAGGTAAGATGAAGCCTAGTTTCTTTTATTAGGTTGGATTGCAGGTTACATAACTGACTTGAACCATCACAAGTGTGAATATTTTAGAAATGTGCTAAAGTTGCTATGCAAAAGTATCGGTCTCACTAAGTGTATATGTTCTGATCATCTGCTTTGGCTGACAAAAAGTGCCTACTCTCCATATGGCTGCTTTGCATGTCATGGCAAATCCACCACACAGTCAAAGGGAAGTTTATGTATGAACTTCAGGGGAAATATGAAGCAAAACAGGATGGCCTCTTAACTGGAAGCTGAGCAATGAAGGAGCCCAGTTCTTTCAATGGTTGTGATGGTAATGATGTAATTATCTCAGTGTTGTATGTATTACTCTTGAATATGTGATGCAACACAGAAAAAACATAAATTCAGTAAAGTCTAAGTAATGTCAATAGACACATGAAGTTGTGGAATCTCTATCCTCAGAAGGTTTTAGGAGCAGTTTAAAGAAACACTTGTCTGGCATGGCTTAGACAAATGATTAGACTTTTTCTCATAAAATTGCAGCAAGTCCTAAGTAAGTGAAAGTGAAAGACAATATGATACATATATATTATGTACTTTCTCAAAGTATAGAATATGCATATAATAATAAGTAATATACTCTAATAAGCAAAAAGTATAATAAGTAAATCATCTTTCAGAGCTTAAGAGCTTGCACTGTGCTGACTTTCTAGATGCTGCCTTTTGAATGACTGGCTACTGATATTTAGCCTATGGCATATTTTCAGATAATTTATTTCCTTAAATAAGCATTCAGAATACTTGTAATCAGAATATAATTTTTTTTAAAGTTCTCTCCTGGTCTGAAAAAGCATAGTGGTCTTTGAGGTCTCACTGTATTTTTTTTTTTTTTTTAAGCAAAAATATACAAATAAGCAATTATTCTTATACTGGAGTTTGATGTTAATTATTAGCCATTTTACCAAAACAATACATAGTACAAACTCCACTTTGAATTCAACTTCTGAGTTTCTTTCTAATATATTTGACATCAAGAATTGGGCAGCATCAGCTTTTTTCCTTGCAGTCTGTCTTAAATTTCTAGAAGTCTGAGAAGAAAGCTGTGAAAAATACAGCAGTAAAGAGACAGAGTGCAAGTATGGTACTAATGTTTTCCATTTTGTCTATGCCAAACATTGCTTCATTGATATAAAAACATTGCTTCAGTGTAGAAAAGCTATTTCTACAGTGGTGGTATAAGTGGAAGACCAAAGGGCACCTATACACGAGCGCGGAGGTTATTCCACCGTGCTGGAATTCCATACAGTATGCAGCAGACTTGATTAACCGAGTCTGTTGGAGCGTGGCAATTTCCACACTCCAGAACCCTCCTGTGTCTCATGTATCAGTGTTCCCACACTAAAAAGTAACAGCAAGGGCACTTGAACTAAAGCTCATCAAATGCCACTTTGAAATGTAGAGATGCTGATACATGAGATGTGGCAGCACTCTAATTAAAGCTCCGTTTCCCCCCTCCCCCCATCCCGAGCACGTGTAAAAGTGCCCATAGTGACTTAATTTGGGATTAAAATGAAGGCCAAAACAATAAAGATAATAGGCAGTAACTAAGGCTGAAAGAATAAAGTCTGTAAATATAACATGTGATTTGTAACATTTACAAACAAACAAACAAACTCTTTCTGTGTGTTGCTCCAGACCCTCATTAATAAAGTCTTTTCTTTTGATGATTTGCCATGCACGTAACCTAGGTGGAGCCCAAAGAGGAAGAAACACAGCAGAAGGTGGATTACCCTTTTCAGTTAAATCGTGTAGCTGCCTGCTATTGTTAGTATTTTGAAGCTTCTTTAGACTTGTCTGAATAGTGCTTTTTCATCTCGTTATTTATTTTTAAATCTTATCAATCTGAGGCCCCTTTTTTGGTTACTTGCTGCTACATATATGTTCATTTTGCTTTCTTTTTTGTGTGTGGTTTAATTTCACAGAACAATTCCTTGAAAGTAGACGGGGAAAATATTTATGTCAGACATAGCAATTTAATGTTGGAGGTTTGTATTTAATATAAGGAACACTTTCTCTTCTCATTTGCTGCCAGGCTGCATGGGATGGGTGGTCACGTGCAGGCTGTGATGGACACTATGCATGAAATGCATGGGGAAATATAAGTTGGAAATGCATGTTGTAAAGCTTTAGTTCCTATCGTGAAGGAGAAGCTTGTGAGACTATATCTGCTAGATGTTTTCAGAGTGACATCTGGGAATAATAGCCCTGTTTAAATCATGAATTAATTTGCCTACTGAGTACCCAAATATTGGATTTTTACTTACCAGACAAATGCATTACTTGATGGATTCACCTTCTAGATCTTGCTCAATATTTTCATTTTCTTTTCTCACATGTATGCAGTGGACATTTGGGATGATATGCTCTGGAGGGATAAACATAGGATGTCCTGATGTCTATCATTGAGTTTCTAATCCTGTCCATGCCACTGACTTTTTGTAGACTTTGTGCAGGTCACTTTAGGATCAGATTTTTAAAAGGACTTAAATGTGTAAATACTTGTAAAAACCTGGTCCTTGGTGCCTATTTTATTTTCCTTGTTGTTGAAATCTTCCAAAAGAATTAATTCTGCTTGAGGATTAATGTTTGTTAAAAGGTTTTGAAGTCAAAGCACTCTTTAAATACCAAGTGCTGTTATTCATTACTTAAATAGAAATATTTGACTTTAATAAAGGTGTTTCTGTAATCTAAGTGGAATGTTTTATGCCAGTGTGTATTTAGGTAGAGTCCCTATAGTTTAAAGTGATAAGTAACTGAAAGGGCACTAACAACTTCCAAAAAAAAAAAATCATTATCTTGTACTTAACTAGTTGGCCCACCCAAATGGGGCTATAAAAAATTCCCTTTGTCACAAAAGAGCTTATCTCTGATTTAATTATTGTAATCGTACTAATATATTTTGTTGCTTTTTGCAGCTTCTGATAACTTTTCAAAATTTACTTTTGCATAATATACTAAAACACGAACAGTGTAAACTGCATAATCAGGCTTTGAACAAATACAAGAAATGTGCCTAGTCTTAAGCCACTATAATTCTTTCCAGGATATACTAAAATATTGCCAGTGTTAGTTATATAAATATCACTTAAGGTTTGTGGAATGATTGTGATACAATCCATACCTTTCTATTCATCAAAAAAAAAAATCAGATAAAATGTTTGTTTGTTTGTTTGTTTGTTTAAAAATAGACAGGCTTAATTAACTTTCTGGATAGATATTTAAAGGTGCATATTTGTGGGGTTTTTTAATGATTCTTTTATAATTCCCATATAAGAGCCAAAGTTTTAAAGACGCGTCCTGTGAGAGTTGCCTTTCACCACAGCTGTTCATAGAGTTTACAGATAAGCAGAGTGCAAGTCCTTTCAGGATGCAGGGCTAAATTTTTAATGTGAGATTTATCGGCATGTTCAGTGAACTCTGAGCTTCATAATGAAGTGCTGAACAGTTGCTTATCTTGTAAAAATGAAACAATGCTTATGCACACATACTCAAAGTTATTTTGGGGGGATCTTTGGTGTAGGATCAATAGACTGCATTGACAGTGTAAGCTCTGGTAACTTTAAATCATATTAAAAGGCAAGGGGCGACATAGTGCTTGGAAGTGTGCATCAGCTGTTCTAATTTAACTGTTATCTGTCTGCTCCTATACCAGTACCATAAACAAACCTAAAGTACTGTCATTTTAACCCTGATTGACAGGCTTAAAGTTGCAGCCATTTGTGTCTAACTTGTTTGTCTATTCCCATACTGGTATAAATTATACCACTATAAGGTATTCCAATTTACTACCCATATAACCATAATATTTGCCGCTGCCTTGTGTTCTTTCTTGTGCTGCCCAAGTATTTGGCTGAAGAGCCAATGTCATTTTAAAAGGATTAGGGAGGTGACATTCAGCCCCTAAACCAGGTCTAGCTAATTATGAGGTTGCTGCATCATCCCTGACTACCACATCAGCTTCCCAACCATATACACCTGAAAGTCATCTACAGATGTTTAATTCAAATTACAAAGTGAAGGAGTCAGTGGTCTTTATAAAAATGGAAACTTACCCACCTTTACTGCAACCTTCTCTGGTAGCCCATGTGATGGTAGCTCAGAGATTCCTCCTGTCGCCCAAAGACATGCACAGACCCCTCTGCATGATTTCTATACTGCAGTCTTGCCCTTTCATGCAGGACAGAGAAAAATATTGATTTTTATTTTTTTTAATTTATTTTTAGCTCCTGATGCTACAAATAATTACATGCATTCACAGCTTTATGCACACAGAATAGCTCTGCTGACTTCAGTGGGATTTACCCCTTATGCAGTCAAGCTTATACGTAGCTATTTGTCCCATTGACCCATTAGCATAGAGTCCACATAAATAATAGTTATTTTTGGCTTAAGCTTAATGGCATTAAGAGCCATATTTACATTTTTATGATAGCCACTGCACTGGGTTCTTCTTGCTTCCATTAACAGTGAGGCTTAGCTATACTTATCATAGAGTGAATGCCCTGGTATGTTTTGCTTAAGTTTCTTTAACTTACAAGCAAACGCCAGCAGCCCTTGGTAACAATTGTTCCAAAGCTGTGGGGCCTTCCTATTGGGATAAAAATAGCCTTTTGCTTAAAAACAAAAAAACCCAACCAGTTGAAAGTGTCATTTTTTTCTTGTGCACAAAGACGTGAAAGAAATAAGATAAGGGTGGCTTGCCAGTGTAATAAAATTGAGTTTTTTGTAGTCTAATTTAAAAGTATCCCCCAAAAAGTGGCTCTTTAGACAAAAGGCACTTTTCTTGTTTTGAATTTTTTTTTGAGGATAAGTTTGCTTTTGTTGTCGTGTTTTGTCCTACTTTTTTTACATTGCACATTGCTAGGACCTGGATAAGACCCAGGACGACTTACTGAAACATCAGGCTAGCATTAGTGAACTCAAGCGCAATTTCATGGAATCCACACCTGAGCCACGCCCCAGTGAATGGGAAAAGCGGCGTATCACACCTCTGTCTCTACAGACACAAGGGGTATGTCACTGTAGACACTTGTAAGCATGCATTTCCCTGCAGCTGCTTAGAGAAAATAATATATTGCCTTCCTATACTAACATTTCCTTTTGTGCATATGTAACATTTCTTTGTACTAAATATCCATTAACATTTTGCTGTTTAGTTTTGGCCCAAACATCAAATAAGTTGTATGCAAGTTTCAGGGTGAAAGAATAACTATAAACAATCAACGGAAGTAAATAAGTTGCATGGACTGAGCTTTGTTCTGTTTTAGGACCCAGAGTATACGCTGGATTTTGGTGATTGAAATGCTTACAAGTTGGTTTTACCTTGACAGGAAAAGTGTAAGATGTCTGTCTTTAATTCTGCCTAGGCAAACTTTAAGTGAACATCTTTCAGGCTTTCATTTTATCTTGCTTCAGTAGTGATAAAAATTAACATCCTCTTTTTTTAAGGAAGTAGTGTGGTATAGTTCTTTAAATGGATTTACCATAAGACCACTAAGAAGTTTATGGGTAACTCTTTAATAATGTTGTACAAAGATAAAGGATTTTCATTGTCTTGTAGCTCTTTTTAGACAGCTCTTTCAGCCCATAGTTTAGAAACAGTTTTTTCTAGAAATTGCTACATGTTTCCTAGTTTCTTTGCCTAAGGCTGTTACAGTTCCGAAATGCTTTGTGCTTTTACCAAATTTAGGTCTACTTCTGTTTCTGTGAAGATTAAACTGTTGGTTACAAGTACATTCTGCCAGAAAAGTCAATTTGGCATCTGGTCTGACATGACTTTTCCTCTGAACAAAGTGGGCTTGCTGTCCTAATTATTGCTACAAGACTTTTCTTGACATGCAAAGATTGAGGAAACTTTATAATCTCCAGAATAAGTTTTTTGTTGTTGTTTGTTTGTTTGTTTGTTTGTTTGTTTTTCCCCTCAATTTTATCAAATGATTTTGTGTATTAGGATTCTGTTTCAACATGGTACTTGGTTATTCCTAACTTTAAATTTGACTACAGCCAAGAGAACTACTCACACGCTGAAATACCTTGGTAATTCCAGTCCTTACTGGCTAACTTTGGAAAAAACATTTTTACCGTATTGTTAATGGGCTTTTTATTTTTATTTTCTTTTGGCGGGGGGGGGACTTACAGCTGCTGCCAGGAAACAGTTTCTTAGGCTTAACCATCACAGTATGATGGTAGGTAAAAATCATAACCTCCCTTACAGGTATTCCAGATATGTTGATGGGTCAGAATGTTTTATTAACAAAAATACCAATTTCATTACAAAATGTAGTCTAATATACCAGCATGGTGTAAGTGTGTGAGGTTTGGCATTGAATTAATTTAAGCTGAAAAGGAAGCCAATCCAGGTTTTTTGTTTCTGCATGTTCTCCCACCTGGTATTCTTGTGCTGCTCTCAGGCCAATTTGTCTTCATGTTTATTGTGACGGTGTATGTATGTGTTGTTATCTGTTAATTTACATTGGTTTTTATAAACACCAAAAAACAAATAGCAAAAAGGAGACCACATTTTCCAAGGGGAAATACTGCCTATAAAGGAGAAGCAATGGACTGCAGCAACAGGGATTACTGAAGCAAAACCAGAGGAAACAGACAAGGTGGCTACCTTGAAACTTCTTCCCTTTTACTTTGATCTGACCTGAGTTAACTGGGGTGCCTTCTTTAAATGGCAGTAACTTATTTAAGACCATCAAAAAAAATAGAAGAGGGAGGGAGGGAGGTGATGAACTTGCTCTGTTGATATCTGCAACAAAAGCATTGCTATCTGCTGTCAAAGTTCTTTGGGTAAATCTGGTATCTTTTATTAGACCAACTCAAATAGTTGGAAAATACTTGGAAGAATTTTTCCAACTATTTGAGTTGGTCTAATAAAAGATATCAGATTAACCCAAAGAGTCTTGTCTGCCTATGTCCTTAGACTAACATGGTGACAACCTATATCCCTGCAATCTGCTATCAAAACTTGCCTTGAATTTCAGAATCACTAACATTTTAAGAGGCAAATAGAGATTGTGTACATTAATCAGATAGTGCTGAGGAATACTGTGGTGTTTACTGATAACATGATTAAGGGGGTAGAGAAACCTGTTTCAACCCAGATGCATCATTTGTCATCTTCTCTTTAGATTTTTGTATTCGCATCACAGTTATGCAACTACTGCAGCCATCCCTGGATCTATGTTGCTGGGAAAATGGTTCATTCCTCATGATGCCTAAATCTGGCTGTTTCATGTCTCTGCCACTTCCTTTCCATCTGTAGAATGGGGAACATTTTTACCACCTTTGTAAAATGCTCTAGGATGTAATGTCAAAAAGCACCATATAAAGTCTGGGTTGTGGTTTTTATGATGGTTGCATTAAAACACTTGCAGTGTTGTTTAGCTGGAAAAAAAGTCAAAGGTAATTTAATCAACATCTCAAATCAAAATACATTGCAAAAAAAGCTGTAAACTTTGTTTTGATCATTGGCAGTGCATAAATATTTGGATTTGTTGCCATTGCTGTTAATTGGGGGGGAGGAGGGGATATTTCTATTTTGCTGCTAATAGCAGCATCTGATTTGAAAGGTAATAAATAGCACTTTTTGGATAGATGAATGAAGTGTTGAAGAGGAAGGGAAGAACCCCTTTTAGTAGTACAGGTGCCTAGTAAATGCTAACTTTTATTATTGAGATGGCAGTTTAAAATTTACATTAATTTATACATGTGTGTGTATATAGCACTCACACACTCTATAGCTGTTCATCCATGGAGAGCCCTGTAATTTCCTCTCCCTGCCTGCTCCAATGAACATAAATACTGATTAATTTTATTCCCTTAGTATGAGACACATTTCCATTGGGTCAACACCTTTTGTACTGCTATACCTTTAAATGCGCAGCATCTGTGACTTAATATTTCTGATAGAAAACCTGCAATTATAGGCATTTTTTTACAGTTTTGGATATCCAGCATCATTTATAATCACTCCTTTAAGCAAAAAACAAACAAACAAAGGTAACCCCCCCCCAACAAACCTAAAATGCAGATGTTTTAAAACATTTATTTCATTTTGGTTTTTGAATGAGGAATGAATGAATGTCCAAAAAAGGATTAGGACAAATTTAACAAACTTCCATCTAAATCAGATATGTCCCAGGTACCTTGAAGATGCTTTGTTTTTCTGTTATAACAATATTCAGGGGTCTTTGTTCTCCTCCTCTTCTTTCCTTTCACTTTCATTCCATGCATGTAGTGTGTGTGTGTATATATGTGTACTACGTATGTATACGCAGTACTGTGTATGTGTTTAGGTTCTATACCACAAGTCTACAATAAGTCCATATTTAATAAAGTATTTACATAACTTTTTAGCTTGGCCCAAAATGTACTTTTGCCCTAAGATGTACTTTGGGGTGATATGTGGCTTGTAAGTCCCTAAAACAGACAGGCATATCTTTTAGTCGATAGCTACAACATTTGTTCAGTTTCTACATTACATCAGGATAAAATATTAATTATGTTATTGGTTTTATATTTTTAAGTATGTTTAACCTTTAACATGATAAAAGAACTTCTGGCATTCCTTGGGGAAAAACTGAAACAATTGATTATTTTAGCTTTTGGTGATGGCAGTGATCATTTTAAATAAAGCTCATGATTTCTGTTATCCGTGATAAAACAGATTCATAGTAGTTTGGGGTATAGAACTATAGATATTTAAGTCGGTTTGTAAGTATATGTATATACATGTTTGCCTAATAGAATGGAACAGTTTTAATGTTTTTAATGCTGAATTCTTAGATCAATGCATGTTTTGATTTCCCCTTAAAGTATTTATTTAAAAAACAAACCAGATGTATAAAGTTAAGCTGGCAAAAATCTGTTTAATATCATGGACACATGCCAACTTAGAGCGGGAAAGGAGTATTCAGGTATGTCTAGCCCTCTATTTGTAGTTAATGCTGTGAGGGAAGACTGGGAAAATTCAAGAATTAATTTAAAGAAGAAATACTCCTAGCATTGAATCTGGAATTATATCTGTTAGTAAACTCTTACCCTTGCATTAAGAGGTATGGGAAGGTTTTGTTGAATCCTTCCATTTAACACTTCATATCTTTACATTCTGAAATAATGTGTAAAAGCAATAGAGTTGTGGGTACCTAGTATCTTAGCATGGTAAAATATTGTGATTGTGATAGACGACACATTTCTGTCACTAGGTCTTACTGTATTATCACATTTTTCTGTTTAAAGGCACAGTTTGATTTTGATCTTGTATAATTCTTTCAGAAATATATTCTTTTTGTTGTCCTGTTTGTTTCTTTTCTTGCTTAACCTCTCCTTTCTTTTGTAGGTCACTGCTGTTTTGTCTTCTACTGTTTTAATTCTTTGCTTTCCATTTTCTAACTTGTCTAGAGCCTAGAAGAAGAAATAACATCAATTTTATTTAGTAAAGAGGGCTTTTCCACTAGCGTGAAATCTACCTTCTCTTCAGCCACGATATGGACACCAGAGGGCACTGTTGTGAAAGATAATGTACCTTCTGAAATGCTTTCTGCCTCACCCTTCTCACAGCTGCCTGAGGTGCTTTTTTGCTTTTTTGCTTTTTTTTTTCCCCCCCCCTCTCCTCCCTGTAATGCCACATGTAGAGGAACTGGGTTTTTTCAGAACATCAGATAAAATTTACTGCATGAAGTTTCAGTATCCAGGTATTAAACCTTATGCCATATTGGATGCTATGTATTCCTAAGACTCTCTAGTTATAGATAGATATGGAAGAAATAGATTTGCCATGAATGCATATTAAGTTAAAATTAATAGATGTGGACCTCAAAAGTGGTTAAACAATTATATAAAAGTTAACTTTTTTATCACAGTCTGATTTTTTTTTTTTTTTGTCAAAACAGTCCAGCGTATGTCACCCCTCTTTGCAAAAGAGGAACTTGGCATAGTGAGCTCAGGGTCTAGTCCTGTATTTGTAGCACGCGGTTTGTTGATTCCTACTTTTGGTTCACAAGGATCCTATACACGCTGTACTTAGAAAGATTAAAAAAAATAGAAAAGAGGCCAGGATTAAGTCACAGATGGTGTGCTGACTTCAATTAAAACAGGGGTAGGCAACCCTCAGGCATTTTACTTGGCACGTGCACCTTAGGCAGAATGACAGAGAAGGAGCTGGGGCTGTGCTGCCACAAGAATTGGACCTCTCATGGCTCACCCACCATCCACCCTGGCACGCCAACATCTTACAAGTTGAAGTTGCCGGTGTTTTTTGGCACTTTGCCCAAAAATGTTGCCAACCCCTGAGTTTAAAATATATTTGTGCTTTCATGAGTTTCTCTGAACTTGAACATTGCTTCTTCAATGCAAGTTTTTTTTAACTGTCATGGTATTATAAAGTGAATGTACATTTTTGGCCTATTATGTCAATGCAGACACCCATCACAAATCATTTTGTCATGATACAAACACTAACAGAAACTCACCACTTGAGCTATCCAAATGAGAGCCTATTAGGATCTTTTTTATAACACGCCCTAGATACAACAGTAACCTAATACTACTTCTTTTTATTACAGTATATAAAATTATTAAAAGGAGCTTCCAAATCTTATAACTATAAAAACTAAAAAAAATAGGGAACTAAGGGGAAAAAAAGTCTGCCTGCAATAAAATTAAAAATACATGCCATATTTAGTATGTGAGAGTTGATAGATGGTAGGATAGTGTATGAAGAAATGTTTTTTCCATTTATGCAATAATTACAAACATTCTTACTGCTTGAATTAATTAATCTTAAGGTAGGAAATTGATTGTTTTGCCAGGTTGCATCCTGGACTAGCATTAGTTGGGGGGGGGTTTCATCTTTTTGGTAATTATTTTGTTTTTGAACATCACCAATTGGGATAATTTTTTTAATGGGCACCTTAATTTAGGGCACATAATTTTTCAATGGGCACCTTAGTCAATGGATTGGTTGTAGGAAACCGCATAACTGAAGATTCTGTGTGGACATCAGCATACCCATCTGTTCTGGGGAGGTACGCATTTTGAACTGAGCTTATGTTGACAATACTGTGTCAACAATGGATATGCAGATCCTTTGTCTCACTGTGTTGTCTACGCAATGTTAAATGTTTGGTGTTTAGAAAACCTATTGATTTGTGTCCTCTGGTTGGTTTTTGTTTCACAGAAAGTTGGTCCCAGAGCAGAAGGGCCTTGCAGTGGAGCCAGAGATGCTGATAAGGTTCTTCTAATTTTTTTTTTTCCATAGTACATTTGGCTCTGACATTTCTGATCCACCTTCATTCTTTCTTTCTTTCCTTTTTCAGTTAACCATCACAGTCATCTTAGTCCTCTTCATGACATGAACCAACCATCAGTTAATTTTGTTTCCATCATTTTGATTTATTTATATACTGTACTTTTGTTTTCCTCATCCATGTTTTTTTGTGCAGAGTTCACATGAGACTCTGAGCGTAGTGGAGGAGAAGAAACGGGCAGAGGTTGGGATAGAAGAGACAGTAGTCATAAATGAAATGAACAAAGGGAAAATACAAGTTGCCATTGATGGTGGGGAGCCCTGTAAGGTGGAACGTCTAGCAAAAAAGGACTCCTCATCAACGTCATCAGAGAGCAGCAGCAGTAGTGAGAGTGAAGATGAAGAGGTAGGAGAATACCAGCCACACCATCGAGTCACAGAAGATGTCATCAAGGAAGAAAAAGAAGAAAATGAAGATGCTAAGGAAGTGGAAGGGTGTACGGCAAAGGTGGTACAATGTGTGGAATCTGTAATAGAGGGCAGTAAAGAAAAAGTCTCAATTGAGCATGCACAAGTTGCAGAAGAGAGTTTGGTTGAGGGAAATGCAGTTTCTGGAACTCCAGAAGAGAAGAGTTTTATAGAAGAGGCAAAACAAGACCTGAGAGAAGAGAGGGAGGAAGAACAGCTCAAAATAAATGGAGATCTCACTCACATTGGCATTGATGTCAAGCCACAAATAATTTGTTGTTCTGAGGTAAATGGTGGAACAGACCAAGAAGTAGATTATGTAGAGATGTTTCTTAGGGTGAAAATATACCTGCCTTTCTTCTCCTATTCTCCCAGCTCTTCAGGTCCTCACCAAGATTGAGATCTTATGGAAGGTGGAAACCACTGATGAGCAGTGAAACTCTGCCTACTTCAGTCATGGTTTCTGGCCTTTTGCTGCAACTGGAGAAGAATCACCAGTAAAGCAAACCTTCCTACAGCTGTACCATCTTATTTTTTTTTCCTTATTACATAATTTTTTTTGCATGTTTTTAACGTTTGCAAGTCTTGTCTTGTCTATTTTGTTAGCTGTTTTTAACACATCTGTGACCTGTATGTGTAACTGGAAAGTCCAATTTAATTTTGTTCAGTTTTTCTTCCTGTCCACAGTTTTCTTTTTTTAAATCTTTTTCCCCCTTTTTCTTTTAAAAATTATTATGAATGTGCTGAATGGAATCAGTATAGACCCAAATTGCTTTAACTAATAAAGAGAACAAGTTTCTTTGGGTAAATCTGATAGTTTTAATTAGTCCAACTAAAATAGTTGGAACAGTTCTTCTTTGCAAGCTTTCAGGTACAAACACCTTTCCTCTGCCTGAAGAAGGGTGGTTGTACCCAAACATTTTCAAAGAAGAATTTTTCCAACTATTTTAGTTGGACTAATTAAAACTATCAGATTTACCCAAAGAACCTTGTCTGCCTATGTCCTTAGATGAACATGGCTACAACCAACACCCTTTAACTAATAAAAAAAACACAACTTGAGCCAGGTTCAAGCATAAGGGAATGAGGCTTTTATTGTTTTGTTACAGCTTCTTCTAATACCAGTGGACATTTAGGGAACCACACATTAGCTCCAGAAAAAGCCGTGACCAGCTATTTTGGGACATAAGCAGGATAAAAGGGTTCAATCATTTGGTAGATTTCTGAGGAAAGAAGAGATATATGGAGTACAGAGGAGACATCTCTGCCCAGAAATTCATGTACCATTTGTAAACTAACTCTTTGGTCTCTATGGTATTCTTGATGTTTGCAACTGCAGTTCACTTCAGAGATGATCCTAAGGAAATCCCATGTCATTTTTCCTCAGTGAATACTCCCAATTATTCTTCTGGTTGAGGCTGTAAGTAAACAAATTTCTCTAGGTTATACTGAGACCTAGCAGAAACACTTCCTGAGAATAGTGGGAAAATAGACTAGGTTTGTAAGGAAATGTAAGCAATGAACAAAAATGCAGATAAGCACCTAGGAGGCTCCTCAGGTGTTTTTACACGTGCTT